ATAAAAGAAGGGCTAGAGCTCATGATTCAACACACCTCATTTGGAGCCTATACCTCACTACTCATCTCTTGTACTCTTTTAGTTCTTAGTAGTAGTATTGTGAGCAAGGCAAGAGCTAATTGGAGAGCTTGTATCCTTGGAAGAAGAGCAACACTTAGTATGAATATAAAGAGAATTTCTTCCATAGTCATGCTCTCATATCATTTATATAGTTGTGTTATAGAACTAGAGTATAGTTGTCTTATTATAATCATAATATATGAACTAGCATATAGTTTGTGTGTCATAATCCTAACATGTTCAACTTCATGCTTAATCATTCATATGATTTATATGAGTAGAAGTAGAGGTAGGGTTGGGGTGATGGTTCGTTGTTCCTTCGGGTTAGCCCATATTCTTGTTTGTAGATCTGTAGGGTCGGAGTCCCGGGGGGATATTGGTAGTTTCCTTGTACACAGAAACCTTCAGATATGACGGTATCCCACGGTTGAGGGGTAGGCGGCAGGTCGTGACAGCCCTATTCGTCCTTCGTAATATCCCATGTTTGGGTACTATGTAGGAGTCTTAAAGTCTCTATGGCTTGCTGGCAGACCAGTGCCCGAGGATCTCCCCGTCCATCTCACACTTAGTTCTAACTCTAGTCATGTAACTTATATGATCATTAACTGTTCTTTGCACGGCTATATTAGAATATGACGGCTTCGCTTAGGAACATTCTTTTATTCTTTGTTTTCCTTTTATCCTTGAGGTTGGCCCAGAAGTGTGTCCACTATCCATGAAATACCGTTTTTACCCCTGTCATATACTATGGTTCACTATGCAAGTATGTAATCATGTTTATGCTCATGCTAGACTCTTAATACCTTACCCTCCTTTGGGAAAATATAAATAACGATACCCTGAATACTTTCGGGTGAAATGCTACAACAATAGATCCGTGCGCTTGTAGATATTCTCTGTAATCGTTAAGAACTATCGTAGTTGGTGTTCCTTGGCGACGTTGCTAAGATTAACTCAATCTTAGTAATGGTGTTAGGAAATACCAACAGGCATTTCTAGCGCCATTACCGATGATGGACTTAAAACCTCCTCACTTGATGATTGCGCTAAGAAATGCCAACAGTGGCCACTGTGCAGACCTAGGCCGGCATTGCATAGCGACAAGGTGGGCAACATATTGCCCATGCGAACACAGCTCCTGCGATGGCATGGGCATGGCTCGGCGGTGAAAGGTCCTAGTGGCTAGAGGGGGTGAATAGCCTATAAAAAATTCTACAACAACACTTAAGTAAACCGGTTAGACAAATTATGAGGCGAAGTGAATATTGCACTAGCCTACTAAAAATACAAGCCACCTATCACAATTCTAGTCACTATAGTCTCTAGGCACACAAGAGGCTATGTCACTGCCACTAAGTTAGTGACCTCTCAAAGACTAACTAAAGAGCCTCTCTAACCACTAGACCCGACACAAGCTAGCTCTCAGAACTAAATACACTAAAGAGCTTAGCTACACTAAGAATGTAAATACAAGGATGAGGTAGTGAGATGATACCAACGTGGCAAGCGATGAACAATCAATCAATCATAAGATAACCAATGAAATACTCGGGACAAGATGACACAAGATTTTTCACCGTAGTTCACTTGCTTGCCAATAAGTTAGTACCCGTTGTGACGATATACTCACTTGGAGGTTCACGCGCTAATTGGCATCACACGCAAAAACCGCAACCGGGTGCCGCACAACCAACACAAGATGAGAATCACACAAGCCACGAGCAATCCACTAGAGTACCTTTTGGCTCTCTACCGGGGAAAGGTCAAGAACCCCTCACAATCACTACGATCGGAGTCGGAGACAATCACCTTCCTTCGCTCAACGATCCTCGCTGCATCAAGCCATCTAGGTGGCGGTAACCACCAAGAGAAACAAGCGAATCCCGCAGCCAAACACAATCACTAAGTGCCTCTCGATGTAATCACTCAAGCAATGCACTTGGATTCACTCACAATCTCACAAAGATAATAAATCAATGATGGAGATGAGTGGGAGGACTTTGGCTAAGCTCACAACGTTGCTATGTCAATGCAAATGACCAAGAGGGCGAGCTAGAGCCGGCCAAGGGACTTAAATAGGAGCCCCCATGAAATAGAGCCGTTGGGCAGCACGAGCAACTCACTGCGAGCCGATCGGACGGGCCGGTCAGAGGTGACCGGACGCACGCCTCTAGCGTTCGGTCGCCCGATGAGCGCCACGCGAGCCACAAATTTCCAACTGTCGAAACCAGTCGCGCGAGCACTTAAGCTGAGACAGGACGCAGCGGCACTTGACCTGACGCACCCGCGCGGAGTCCGATCACGCGCGTGCCCGAGCCAGCAAACTAGCGACCTGATGCACCGATGCCCTGACCGGACGCGCCACCAATGTGGCGTCCGATCACTTCCAGTAAGCTCCCCGAGCAGGATTTTGAGGACCGGACATGTCTGGTCGAAGGCAGCCGGACGTGTCCCAGCATCCGCTCCTTCTGCTGCGTGCCAAGTTCAAACGCCCCCACGTCAGCATACGTCACGGGCGACTGGATGCAGGCCCTACGCGTCCGGTCACGCGCCTGCTCCAGAGTTCGGTCAGGACCCGAAGCCGCGCACTTCACTGCCACGTTGACCGGACACGCCCATGCAGGGTCCGGTCCAGAGTCTGGTCAACAAAAAACAGTTCCTCCACTTCACAAACTTCTCCACCCTTGCTCAAATGTGCCAACCACCAAGTGTATCATCTTGTGCATGTATGTTAGCATATTTTCACAAACATTTTCAAGGATGTTAGCACTTACTAGAATTTAAATGCATATGCAAAGAGTTAGAACATCTAGTGGCACTTTGATAACCGTATTTCGGTACGAGTTTCACCCTTCTTAATAGTACGGCTATCTATTCTAAATGTGATCACACTCGCTAAGTGTCTCGATCACCAAAACAAAATGTTCCTATGGATTTCACATTTGCCTTGAACCCATTTTATTTTTCTTTCTTCTTTTTCCAAGCCGAGCACTTGATCATCTCCATGGACTCCACCATCACCATGATCTTCTCTATTTGCTCCATTACTTGGAATGTGCTACCTATCTTATGATTGCTAGAGTAATAGGTTAGCACTTAGGATTACATCTATTCACCAAAACCAAACTAGAGCTTTCAGTCGGCCACAGTTGAGCTAATATGCAACCTTGACGGTGCCCTTAGTAATCGAGAAGTGTGTTGTGCATAGAGAAGACATGATTGTGCTATCGATACTAGCGACGACATAGTGGTTGGTAGAGATCATCCTGACAAGGAGTAGCTAGATCTCGCTAGGGTTTGTTGATTGTTCTACTATCAATCTACCTAACACCATGTGTAGGCTCTCCTAATTTCATTAGGATGTATTATCGGTCTTGTCTCGTCATTGCTATTCTTGTACACCCTCTCGAAAGCACAATGGGAAGTATTCCAAACTGATAAAATCTTAGAAAAAACATACTAAACCAAGGAAAGAAAACTCATAAGGGATGAAAACTTAGAAAAAGAAAAAAACATAAAAAGAAAAAATGTGGACCAAACCGGAAAAAAAGGAAAAGAAAAAAAATAGATGGACGCAAAAACAAACCGACTGAAAGAAATGAAACCGAGAAACACTGCCGAAACACAAACACGGATAAAATAGTGCGGGAGGGTGGAGGGATACGTGGACACAAGCAGAATAGAGAGGGACAAAGAGAAAACAGGAAAAGAAAAGACGAAGCTGACACAGACGATCGAAATCAGGAAAAATAAATAGAAAGGGCTGAGCAGCCATCCCAACGGGCATAGGAAAAACCGAAACGGACACCAAACGAACGACGGAAAATATAGAAAAGAGAAAAAAAAGAGAACCGAACAGACATAGATATAAATATAGGTACATACAAATTTGTCTAATTTTTATTTTATTCTTATACCTTTGATTAGGATTCTTTTTTAGGTACTTAGAATTTGAAGAATCTATTTGAATAGTATTAGAACTCCTAGCTATCTAAGTTAGGTAACAAGTCCGACATATGTCATATATATAATAGGAGGGATGTGCCAGACGAAAAAAATAGATGGAGAGAAATTTTACCTCTTTATTATTAGGGGTATAAATATAGATAATACTATAGTACTATAATACTATTACTTTTAATAGTAGTATTATAGTATTAGAACTTTTAATAATAGTATTATAGTATTAAAAGTTTTAATAATAATATTATAGTATTAATAACAGAGAAAAGTTACTTCTATAATACTATTATTAAAGTTTCTAAAATAATACAAATTAGAAGTAACTTTTAATAGAGAAAACTTTTAATAATATAGGTGACTTTTAATATTATTACATCTGGACATGGATGACACTGCTTGCCAAATTTAGGGACCTGCGGTGATCACATTGAAAGTTCAGAGACTAAGATGACACCGTCGGTCAAGTTTAGAGACTTAAGTTGATCACCGTAAAAGTTCAGGGACCTGGATAACACCGTTTGTCAAGTTTAGAGAGCCATAGATATCACTTTAGAAGTTTAGGGACTTGAATAACACCGCCGGCCAAGTTTAGGGACCGACGGTGAATTTTGCTAAAAAAAAGTATGGAATGGACAGATGGGAGAGAGAGAGAGTGAGAATGAGGGAAGAAATTTACTATTTTTATATTATATAGATATAGCTATACAAATATAGATCGATTAATAAATAAAACAGGTTAAAAATAAAATAAAAGACAAATGATTAGCCGATTAGGGCCTCCTTTTTCTTCATGTCCCGAGTGTCCGCTAGTGGGCTGAGAAATCTATGCTGCAAAACGGCACCAAATGTTAACATGCCCCAAGCCCAGACAAAACCCCACCTCTCGGGCACGCCCCCGCCGGCGCCGCCTCCGCTACCCTCACCACCGCGCACCACATCCTCGCGGCAGTAGCAGGCGGTGACGCCCGGCGCCCCCAATGGCGGCAGACTGGTCGTGGGCGCGCAGGGCGTGGGAGAAGTGGGCCGCGAAGCACGTCGGCCCCTCTGGTATTCTCTCGTGCCCCTCGTCTCTTTGCTTCTTCATCAAGCTCCCTGTATCGCTCGATTTCTAACTGACTGACGTGCTCTCGCAGGGAAGCCAGTCCAGGCCGCACTGCTGCTCAACTACGACCCCTCCGGGCCATCTCGGCTCCTTCCCGTCATGTGAGTCCTTTCCCCTTCCCCAGATCATTTTTTATTTACCTTTTTCATGGTATAGCTACCAGTGGCAGTGGCCACTTTTACCTATAATTGTTGCCTGTAGCGATTTGTTGGACATGTACAATCTGTTAGCGATTGCATTTGTGGATCATAACAATTCTGCAGTCGATGAATATCACTAGGATTTATGGTTTTTTTGCTCTGAAATTTATGGAAGATAAATAAATAGTTAGTTACTATATTGGCAGTTTTACATTTTTATGCTTTATATCTTCCTTATGGTCATATTTTACATGGGAGATTCAATATAGGATTTGGATATAATCCCCTGTAACAGAAGGAATATTCGTTGGATGTCGAGTTGTGCAATGAATGAATCAGATATCCGAAGGGGATCTCTATGGCATGTTGTTGTTTTTGAAGATCAGAAATACCCTGTTGGTTATGATCCATGAATGCTGCAGTTTGTGTAGCCGAAAATTTACAGAAAATCTTTTTCCTCTGTCCAGAGCAGAGCAAGAGAGAACACAACTTTCAGCTCTTGATATGCAACCATTCCTGGACTTTGTCAAGAGGGGTAATCTGCAGACTGAATTCTTCTCTGTTGGGCCGAACCAATGTGAGTGTTCCACAAGCTGAATTTGTTTTTATTTATATAACTTGTCAAATGGATTGTCATTATTGTGGCCAGCAATTTGTGACAGAAAGTTATGATTTGTAGATTTGGTCACCTCAATCCATGAAAACTGGTTTTGCGCCCGTTGCGTTAACAGCACAAAGTCAGGAGGTGAAGGAGTAATAGTTATGCAGATTGGAGCTTACTTGTTAGTCTCTATGTATGTGCCTTTTTTTCAACTTCCAATAATCCAATTCATGGAAACTGGTTATCATATTTTCTTACCTATTGTTGCTATTAAACTGTGTTTTTCATAAGAAACTATTTAATTCACACCTGTTTCTTAATGTATAGGTATGATGGTTCTCTTGCTTCAGCTTCACAAGCAATGGTGGCTGCTGATCAGTTTGCGATTCAGTTTAACCGCAGGAGTCACTAATTTACAGTATAATTTCATGAGTGATGTTGACCCGCAATTTGTTATTGTTTGGGATCGTGCCAAAGGGCGCCTAGCTCAAACGGTTAGGTGACCCAGCGGCACTCCTCAGGTCCTGAGTTCGACTCCCCGTGGGAGCGAATTTCAGGCTGAGGTTAAAAAAATCCCCTCGCCCGTCCCCATGTGCCAAAGCGTAGTTATGGCCCGGCCCGGTTCTCACAGGGCAACGGATACCGCTGCGTCAGGATGGGGGCGGGGGTTTGGGGGTTTTCTCGATCTGTGTGAGAAGATCTTCTTAAAGGGAAAGCTGGGGGCCGTCATAACCCCCCGCAGGTCGAGTTTTTTTATTGTTTGGGATCGTAGTGCTAAAATGCAGTAGATGACCTTATGTAACTTGTAATGTACTATTCTCTTGGGTCCGTAGTTATGCTAATGTAATATCCAATATGTTATACTGATGTTTAGTGTGAAGCTGAAGAAGCTCATGTTGAATTTGTGTTTCCAAAGCATTCAAAAGCTTAAAAGGGACATTTGTTTTGTAGCCTATTTCTATGTGAGCTCATGCAAAACTGTAGAACGTTTGAAATCCTTTGAATGAAAAAATGTATATAGAAAAATATTACATATATGTATCAGGCTAAAACATGACTGTAATGAGACCTGAAAGGGCGTACCCAGTGCAGAGAGCTCTCGCTCTCTGCGGGGTCTGGGGAAGGGTGTTAGTGGCAAGCCTTACCCTCGCCTGTGCAATGCGAGGAGACCGCGACTCGAACCTGGGACCTGAATTGAAAAGAAAAAATAAGTTGTTCATACTAACTTTTGTTCATTCCATTGAATGTTATTTGAGTATTGTAAAGTAGCTCAAGGTTACTCTTTACATTGACCAGTTCTATATTATGATTTTGCCCTGAAGAATTGAAAAACAACTGTTGGTGATGACACTTCTTCCATTCTCATAAATATTCCGTCGGTAGATTTTTAATTGGCCAATCTCAAGATTCTATCTTTTGTGGTTTAGTTTTCTAAAGCTCATCTATGGCACAGGTTTGCCCATAGCATTGCTTTTGACAAGATATTTATCCAAACTTGATTGATGTTGATAGTTCCTACCATTGTTTACTATTATGCGTATGTTTGTCTTTTTTTTTTTGGAAACGGGGCGTATGTTTGTCCTGTCATTTAACATTCATAATATTGTAGGTTTGTCTCATAAGTACATAAATATGATTTAGGGTGTGTTTGGGAGGGCTCCTCCGGAGGAACTGGAGCTGTTTTGGAGCCTTTTTTTCTCTGAAAAACGGCTCCCCCTACTAAACCATTTGGTAGGGCTCCTCTGGAGGAGCCAGAGCCGGAGAGGAGCCCTATCAAACGGGGCCTTATTATATGCATATATTTGTGCCTTGTAACTACATTCCAACTGTCTGTGTTTTGTTTGGGTTCATTATTATGCTGCTTCTTAATTCTTAGTACTATCTGTGTGAACTATCATACCCTTCATGAAAGATATGGAAGGTTGTTGAAACCCGATAAATGCTCCGCTATTTATGTGCTAAATTATTATGAGTATTAATGAAATGGAAATTGAGATGATGAGGAAGATATGAATAATTTCTGCTTAATTTGGTGTCTTTGATTGACCAGAAGTACATATTTTGTCCATTGTAACTTCTGAATCTTCAGTTTCATTGGGATATTGTCTTGCATGCTCTTATTTATCCAAAATGTCAGTTTAGGCGATATGCCATTGCACTGCTGCCTGCATGCTATTCCTTTATTACTATGCTGAGGACAATCCATCTTCCTGTCCTATCTGTTCTCCTGTTGTTCCACCACCTCAGCCTGCTATAATCTTTTCATAGTTTGGATTCATAGTTCAGTGATGCTAGTGATTAACTCAACCTGTTTGTTGTGAGTATTTTTGATATAACACATTTCCTTCACAAGTTCTGTTGCAGATTTACATAGTTTAACAGAAAAGAGATCATTGGGAAAAAGTATGCATGCTTTTCGAGGTCTTGTTTATTCTCTGTAGTTTCAAGATCTACGATGGGAAGTTAAGATTTGGCGGTTTGAACAACAGTGAAAAATGAAGACTGGATCTATCTACTGAATTTGAATTGGCTGCTTTGTTATATGATTTATTGGATTTCATCACTTAAAGATGTGACAGAGTTGTTTTTTCACGTTTAGACTACGACTGCTCGTCAGTTCCTCTGTAAGTTTGTTCTAACTTTAGTTGTTTCTTTTGCTTCTGACTCTATTTGATGACCCTGTTTGCTCACCAGTGATTTGCTGTTTGCTTCTTCTCATTGTGTCAACTTGTCATTTGTAGGATAGTACCTCCCATTTTGTTTAGCTGTAACCCTGTTTTGTTCATCTTTGACAGATTCGATGTAGCTCTTGGCCTCTGGCATATGTTTTGTTTTCTTGAACATGAAGGGGAACCGCTACGAAAACTTGCAGTTCTCCCCGTCAATCCTCCAGGACCCAAACAACTCACTTTTCGCCCATGAACCGTTTGTGTCAATGGATTGGTTTGATAAAAAACTTGAGCTAAGGGGTATGTGCCAAAAAAGGTCTCATAAGTAGTGATTAATAAAATCGAAGTTGAAGTTGGAGTTACCAAAGTTTGTGGAGTCGGTTTCGATTGACGACCTCTTCATAATATAGTCTATTCTCTCTCCTACAACTCTAGGTTGTATATTCATACGCCTTTCGAACTATTTAGTTTTCCAACTAAGAGGATTATCCGGAATCATGCATGAATTGGGCTAAGCTAAAAAAACGACTATTTCAAAAACAGTTAATTCAATGATGACCTTCCATGGATTCACCTATATAGGCTGCGGCTAACGTTGCAAAAATAAGAGCTTGAATACCGCTTGTAAATAATCCAAGAAACATGACCGGTATAGGGACTACTAAGGGGACTAAAGAAACAAGAACAACAACGACTAATTCATCCGCCAATATATTTCCGAAAAGTCGAAAACTAAGTGATATTGAAGGAGAAAGGGTTATAACTATAGATGCACAACCACCCACCCACACTTGTTCTTTAGTAACCTGTCATATGTTGTCAGGTGCATCCATCACTTTCTATCACTTGTAGAACAAAGAAATCTTTACAACATAGGCATAGTTGACTATAATGAAACAAAATGGATGAGAAGACGATCAAGGATGACAAAACGTTAATAAAAAAGAACTAGTGTTGGACAAATAAATTTGGGGTTTTCAGTATGAAGAAACATCACCACTGCTCTACCTCTTCCCATAACTGCACATCCTGGCAAACTAGTTCCGCGCCTAGCCGCCTAGGCTACCTGCTGGGTTGGCAAAATGCAAATAAGCCCTATTGTAGTTACACCTCTTGAGCTCTTACCTGATATTTCATAATGTGTACACCACTAGAGTCAGTTGATTGTTGTTTGCTTGTAGTTTCGTGCTTCCCTGCTTTTATCCACCAGGACATAAGCCTATTTGCCTACTGAGAATCAACCGCAGGCTGAATGCTACTGTTCTGCTGGTCCTGGTTGTTGTTGATACTTGTATTGAGCCTTTTCAGAGAACTGCGGTTAGGGCATGATTTGTGTCTCTGTTGTAGTTTGGTCACAAAAATCTGCATACATCATCATTCTGTTGTGTGGCCACTCCTGCAGTTTGCCTTGGACTTCTTTCTCTCTTGTGGCAGTAACTCCACTGAAGATCTTGCATTAATTTTCCAGATTCACACCCAATGAGCCTCCATAACTGAGCCTATAAACTGATGATTTCAGTGCACTTTATATTATGACAAATATCCTAGTGTGTACCGATGGCTGTCCAACTTTATATTATAACTCAGCTTATGCTTATCTGGGGTCATGTGGCGGTGCGACATCTACGTTCTTTTTATCTCCAATGTAGTGTATGAGAAGTAAGCCATATAGATCTTGGTTGCCTTTGTTTTTTTTTTTTGGAAAATAATCTTTTTGGCATAGCATTGATTCTATCACAGTAGACCATAAGTTTTTGCATCATGGTTTGCGCACTCATCCTTTCTTTCACTTCATCTCTGATTTCTCATTTCTATCTTCCCATTCAGCTCAAATTATTTGGGACGATTCAACTTAAATCTGACTTTTACTTAAAAGAAAACAACTTGTACTTGTAAGAATAAAATGTTAACCTTCTTCAAGGGATTTTCTTCTTCTGAAATGTAATTTTCATTTTGAATTCCTGATACCATTTAGAACTTGTTTATTGCAACAGCAGATCCATCTAAAAGGTTAGGCTATTTGGGGAAGTAATCCAACCTGCCCTGATTTCGTTTGAACAAGGTTGAACAAAGCAACAGGTGCAATTTAATTGTTAAACAAAGCAACAGGTGCAATTCAATTGTTGAAGGGGCATAGAAGGAATGGGGACGATACCCTTCCTTGGATCATTTTAATCTGAGTTAAGAGAGTTTGTTTTTTCTTCGTTGAAGGTGGTTGAATTTAAGCTACAAGCGTAGACTACTTTTTCAGTTCAAAATTAAATTCCACAAAGGTCAGCAGGGGCAAAGACACATCACGATCACTACTCGCTTATCAGCCATGGTACAATATTTTTCTCTCATAACAAATCAACGAAAAGTACTTTTCAGCCTGGCTTTTCAGCGAGTCGTATGGTCCTGTTTATATATATATACACACACACACACACACACACACACACACACACACACGCACGCACTTCATTAAGGTCCTGCACACCAAGTCGTATGGTGCAAACAGGTTCGTGAAGGGGCAGATAGGCAAGTGCGGCAAATCGAGTAGCTATTGGACATTATTAGAATTGTGCAAACTTAATTATGGCCTATGGGTTTGTTTGGATGTTGCAAACCGAGCTGGTATCCTGTTCCATTCCCAATGGATTAATTTGCTCACTTCCATCCGAGTCAGCCTTACTGCTCCACTACCAGCCATTCTTGATTCTTGCCTCCCGCCTAATAGCCATCTCGCTCCACAAATAAGGATGACAGCTCTGGTAAAGTAGAGTGGTGATGTCAACTTGTTATTCTTTAATTTTTTCCTCAACATCCAAACAAGACTTGTACGGATGCAAGGAAGGATTCTAGCACTGCACACCAATGCAATATTTGTTGCGTCATATATATTGTTTAGAACGAACCAATATCACCAAATGAGCTTGACAGTGTCAATGGATCAGCGGATCGGTCCAGCTCAACACACTTGGATCAACATATCAACAACATGAATCTGTTTTATTGTTGTCCATTATGACTGCCAATTTCGAACTTAATTGCATTCTAATATACCCTGCTTGTTATTTTCGATAAGGTTTGACACAGCAACATGGTGCAAATCAGTTCGTAAGGGGAACTGAAGTGCGGCAAATCCAGTAGGGATCATTGTTCAGTGCTCTTGTCCACGCTGATAATAGCGTGTATAGTTTCATGACAAGTAGACCAATATTTTCCAACTAATAATGTATATAAACATAGATTAACTTCATGGGTGATGATGATGTGACGT